TATATATATATTTAAAAATATTTGCAAAAAAAAACGTTATAAATATATATAAGTAGTAGAATCGCAGTTATATGAATCTTTATTTGTGTCTAACGACCAGGTCAAGTGAGCAAAATCTCACTTAAGTAAATTTATTACTAAATTTAGTTAAAGAAAATTTATTTCTATATTTAAAAAAGTCAGCAAATTAACAATTTTTGAGGTAATGAACAAATGGCCGTTTTCTGGTATGCCATATTTTTGACAATCATGTTAATTACGTCATTCGATTGATTTTGCAAATGACAATTATGTGCAATTAAGCAGTTTTTGCAATTGATATTTTTAAAAATTATTTTTTAATTATGCATGATACTTTGAAGAAATTAAAAACTAAAATAATAATCATTTGCGTTGCTGACGTCTATTGGAATTTATAAAGTGTACGTCAGGTCGCATATTATTTTTGCGAAAAAGCATATTATTCTTAAAAAAATCCCCTTAAAATTGGAATTAATTTTTAATTAGCGGAGTTGCTCTAAAAAAGCCTCATCTATTTTTATACCGTTCACATAACTGAGATTCTATTCCTATATAATTTACATACATGTATATACAATTATACAGTATATATATATATATATATATATACGTAATACAATAAACATATTATTTTTTTTTTAACTTTTTTTTTCCTTTAAATTTCTTAATACATTAATCTGTATAATATGTTTTATATTTACATATACATGTATATTATATTACATAATACATACTTTTTAGTTTTTATTTAAAATAAAATTATTATATCAAAAAATTTTTATTATATGACCTTAAATATATTTAAATATTTTTTATTAAAATTCAAAATTAAATTGATAAAATATCGTCTTAATTATAAAATTTCTTACACATAGACATATATAAATTTATACATATATCGTATATATATTATTATTATTATATAAATATAGTAAATTTTTGGTGTTATAAATAAAAAATTTTATTAAACTAAAAATGAAAAATTTTTACTTTATTTTTACTAATCAAAGTTATTTACTTAAGGTAATTTTAATAAATTAAAAAAGATTTATGATTTTTCGAACTTAATAAAATTTTTGCCAAAAGCATTGATTCCTTTAAATTAAAACGCGATATAACGACGGGTTCTAATTGTTATTTCTAATTATTTCTTATTGTTTGTGCCTTTATACTCGCCCCCTTATAATCTCCATTTTCTTCCAACTTGTTTGTTAATCCAGTCCTTTACAAATCCGCTAGAAGTATAAGAATTCTAAAATGAAAAAATGAAAATATTTTAGATTGTATATGAAATTCGAAAAATTTAATGTTTTTTTATAAATAATTTTTAAATAAAATTTGAAAAATCTTCTTTTGAAATGAACAAAACTTTACACAAATGGTAAGTATCGAAAATACATTGATGTGCAATGAACCTAGGCTTGACAATCCTTTAAAATGGCACTAAACCTTGTTTTTCTACACTAATTTATGAGTAAGTTTTTGAATTTTAAAAATTAAAATTTGAAGATAGAGCTGTACCTTGTATTACTTATTTTATGTTATGGTTTTGGGTCACAACTGATATAAATATAGCCCCGCGTATTTAGAAAAGTTGATTTCAATGGAAAAAGGCAATTTTATAAGTACATATTCTTATGAAAGTCGGGGAATTTTTAAATATCACTTATCCGCAATATAATAAATATTTTCTAAATTTTTTAATCAAAAGCCTTACATTAAATCTTACATCCAAAACATTTAAGACCCGATAGCTTAATCAACAATGATATATATATACATACACCGTAAGCAAAATCTAATGAATAATTATTAAATTCCATTTGCCAATCGGTAAGTAAACTTCATTTTTAAATTAGTTTTAAAAATCTTATCACTTAATCGGCAAAGCGAATGACTTCTTAATAGTGAATATAAATTTCTGATTCTATGACTGACGAATTCGCCTTGAGTTTACCAATGAAACTCTTTACTATCTATGTATGTGATTATATAGCGTGCAAGATCTTGAAATAAAAATGCAAAATTGTTTTCTTAATATATAATTTTTCTTTTTTTTATTTTTAATTTTAATATAGAAACAGAAAAAAAAACTTATCCATTACTATCGCCTATTTATCTAAATTAATTTTATAAAACAATTAAAATAAAAATTTTTTTTATATTCAAATGAGCTGAACATATTCTCAATTATTTTTATTCTTCAATTAAACATTTGTTTTTTTTTTTTTGAAAAATTCTTTAATTTTTTTATAATTTTAAAAATTCTTACAATACTATTTTTTTTTTGTTTTTGTTGTTACTAAGTTTTTCAAATTTCATCCCTTTTTTCAAAATTGATAACACATGAAATTACAGATAAAATACATAAGAGTAATTGAAATGAAATTTCGGAAATAATATTTGTATGTTATTTATATTTATGTATGTATTTACATACATATAATTTTCAAAAAATTAAATGGTTACTCCACTTTATCTTCTCTATTATAGAAATGCTTTCTAAATATAAACGTAATTTATACAAAAACGATCCTAAATTTTTCCTAAACAACTTTTTGCGAATAAATACTGCTAGGGGTGGGGCGGGGTTTGAATTAAGAGCGCATGAAATATGTTAAATGATTACAGAGGCAATTAATTACTCAGATTAATTTTAGAAGATTTTTAGACGAAGCTTTTAAGTTTTAAACTGCCGAACCATGTTATATCATTTTATTTAAACAAATTCAAAATTTTTTAAACAATAAAAAAACTGTGAAAAAAAGGATTTTCTAAAATATTAGAATAATGATTACATAGCTAAAGATTAATACAAAATGTGATTTCTATTGTAAGGTAAAACAGCGTCGTCTATTCTACTTTATTTATATATACGTACAAGTGCGTTAAGATTCCAAGTCATTCAAAAACTTATGGCATACCTATACAAAATGTTGGATATTTTGCTTTTATCGCGGCGTTCGATGAGTAAAATTTTCTACGACAAATTTGAGTATGTATTTTAAATTTATATTATCTATTAAACAAAATTGTAATGAAAATTTATCAAGTCCGTCATATGAATACAATTAAAAATTTGAACAAAAATAAAATTCTAAATACATTTAGAAAATTACAAAATTGCAAAAAATTAAGGTTCCTTTTATTTTTGCATACTATAATAGAGGGTTTTTTTTTTAATATTTTCGTTTTTTAAATTAATTTGCAGATAAATTGTAAGTAAGTCCTTTTTTATTTATTTTTTTACTTATTTACTTATTATATTTACTTTTGTTTCTTTTGATTTTTTGACATGCAATTTGAAATTGTTAAAAATTATAATATCTTAATTATAATTTAAAATTTTTGCATTTTTTTGTATTTTAATTAGAAATGATTAATTTTAAATTAAATAAACAGAAAAATTAAACAAAAAAAAAAATATAGAACTAGAAACATTTTACTTTTAATTAGTAAGTTTTTAAAGTTTTATTCTATTTAATTTTTTTTAAATTTTATTCATTATATTTAAATGTTTATTTATTTTTTTATCAATTACATAAATAATATTAGAAAAAAAATATGTATATATATATATTTAATATATTATATATGCATGTATAAATTAAAAATGTGTAATCTTTTTTTTTCTTTTTCAAATCCAAAGTTTCAATTATACAAATTTTTTAATTTCTTTTCAATTTTAAATATTGTATTATAATAATTATAATGATATTATATTTAAAGATTGTTGTTTTATGTTTTTGAAGAAAATAAACACTTTTACAATAAAAACACTATTTAGTTTTGAGTAAATTTAAAATTTTTTGCAAGTAAAATATTGGAGCAATTTTATATGATTTGTTGTTTTGATTTATTTTTATTGTATAAAAAAAAAGCTATAAATGATTTCTTAGACCCATATTAGCATGTTATTATTATTTGATTGACAATATTTAATATTCCATTAAATACATTTTGTTCTCTAATACTCGTAAATATAAATCTTGTAATATATAAAATACAAAAATTAATAATTTTTTTAATATTTAAAATGTTCAATAATATTAAGGTGTTAATTTGAATCAATTAATTCAATTATAAATTATAAAATTTTTTTCAAACTAATACAGTTAATTTTATAATTCCAAGATCTTTTCTAAATAATTTTATATTTATATTTAATACAATTTGTAGAAATGCATTTACACGAAATTTATCAGTTTAAAAAAAAATTAAATATAATTTTTAAATTTTCATTTTTCAATTTTTGAATTTAGTAAAATTCTACAATATTCTGTTTTTGTTACGATATAAAAATAAAATGTCAGTATTATAAATTAATTAAATTTTACTGTTATTTCGCGAAAAATTGGAATATAGAACATTGTAGATTACTACAAAATTCTATGTATAAATATTAAATTAAATATTAATTAAATATTATAATTAATATTTAATATTATAACAGCATTTGACAAAAAGTTCTGCTTAAATTTCGCAAAAGAAATTTAAAATTTGATTAATTTTTGGTAAATGAGTACAATAACCGGTTTGGAATAGTTATTCATGCTGTAATATAATTTTTAAATCTAATACCATGACATATGGGTCTAACAAATCTTATAGTTTACAGTATATTTATTAAAATAAATTTTAAATAAAATAAAAAATAAGTGGGTACATAGGAAAAATTTTTATATTAAATGAAATATTTTAATTTCGTATCAAAATTTTATCATATGGATAAAATTATTATTTTTATACAATTTAGTTTTTTTTTTATGTAAATAAAAATAATTTCCGTCAAACTTTGTTGCACTGAGTTAAGAAATTTTGTACTGACCAGAAAAGTTCTTTTATATATTTATAGTATATATATTTTTATTTTGACAAATTCATATTTTAAATTAAAATAAAAAAGAAAACATAAATGTTACATATTTAATTAGAATAATAATAAAGAGTTTTTTATTTATTTTTGATTATAATAAAATTTTTGTGTCCGAAAAAATTTTATGCAAATTGTTCCTTTATTTTCATTTTTTTGGGTTTTTGATTTATTAAAATTTTTTTTGTTTTTCTTTTGTAAAAAAATAATCATTATTCAAAGAGAATACCTATTAATTTTTGTTTTTAGTTCTTAATTATAATTCACGAAATTTTTTAATTTTTTTATTTTCCTTTACTCATTTCAATTTTATTACAACAATTACTTTGATTTTTAATTGAATGTTTTTTTTAATTTAAATTAAATTTTACAAATAATAGTATGACAAAAAAAAAAAAATACAATTTTTTATGCTGCGATTAGCTAAAAATTTACAAAAACAAAAACTGCAATTAGAATATTATACAAAGATTATTAAATTTAAATAAATATATATTTAATAAAAATATAATATATTTATAGAATAAAACTTTACTTACAGATTTTACAGTTGCTTTAATAAAATCTTTTTTATCAGTTAAATCAAATTCTGGATATTTTGCATATACTTGCTTACAAACCGTTTTCATTGTAATTTCTTCAAGATTAGCTTCATCTAAAATTTCTTTCACATAAGACTTAATTTCGTCGTCCTAAATAATAAAAAAATATATATAAATAACATAGGTATTAGTAAAAAAAAATTAAATTTCAAATTATTTTGCCAAAAAAAAGTTACAAAATATTATAATAAAAATGCATACTGAAGGGAATGAATTTTTTCCTTTTTTATTTAATGGTTCATCTTCTGAATCACTTTTTTCTTCTTCATCTTCCTCTTCTTCTTCTTCTTCTGAAGATGCTTTTCTAGATTTTTTCCGTGGTGGTGCTATTAAGAAATAAATGTATATTTTGTGAAATTTGTTATATGTATTTAAAATTATCGACATACGTTTAGCTCTTCCTCTACTTGCTGTAGCTTTATTATTTTTAGCTGCTTTTCCGCCTCCTGCTCTTCGCTTTTTAGGTTGCTCCTAAAAACAATAAAATTAGGGTAATAATTTCTTGCATTTTTTTTTATGAGAACTAACCTCTTCACTTTCATTTTCAGCTTCTGATTCTTCATCAACTTCCTCTTCACTTTCGGTTTCATTGCGCTTTCGTGCTCTTGGCCGTGCAGGAGCTCGCGCTCTACCACCTGATCTAGGTTTGGAACGTCCTTTTTTCTTCGGTTCCTCCTTTAACATTCAAATTTATTTACGACTGTTAAAAACAAAAAAAAAAACAAAACTAGAAAATAACTTACTTCACTTTCGTCTTCGCTTATTTCTGATTCTTCATCTTCTTCTTCTTCATCTTCTTCATCTGAATCTGATTTTCTTCTAGCTACCTTACGTCCGCTCACTCTAGAACCACGTCCACCACCACCACCTCTATTTTTCTTACGTCCTTCTGAATCAGATCCACCTGATGGGTTGTACTAAATAAAATATAATTTTAATATAGAAGTTTTCACATTTAAAACTTATATTTACATCTGATCCACTATCCGAGTCATCTTTACGTCTTTGACGTTTAGATCTAACAACTTTTGCTTCTTCATCTGAGCTGGAATATTCCACGTAGCTCGATACATCTGCAATCAAAATAAGAAAAAAAAAATAAATTATCTTGAATAATTACAAGTCACAATATTTAAGCTGTTTTAAGCTTACCACGATTACTTTTACCAGCAGTAACTCGCCTTGGTCTACCACCTCTGCCAGTTTTTTCAGGCCGTTTTTGTTTTTTCTCCTCTTCGCTTGGTGCTTCCTCCTCTTCTTCCTCTCCTTCTTCATCTTCATCTTCAGGGATGTCTTGTTCTTCAGGGGAAAATAAAAATTTGCATATTCTCTGTGAAACTTCTTCCCTCGAACCTGAAAATTTTTAAACATAGGTAGGTTCTCAAATATCAGTATGTAATTTGTTCTACAATAAGAAACCCTTACCTTTCTTAGCCAACGCTAATATATTGCATATTGATTTGAGACTTTTCAAATCATGTTTTTGAATAAATTCTAATTTTTTTTTATGCTCTGTTGAATCCGGTTCAAACTCAAATCCGGCAAATGTCCTTAAATTCTTCTTTACAACATTGAATTTACCTGGAGCATCAAAACAAATCTAAAGAAAAAATAAATTTTACTTCAAAATTTTGATAAAATGCAAGGTAGGTAAACTTAGTATACCTCATAGAGAAGTTGCAAATTTTCAACTCTGTTTTTGTTAATATTTTCATTTATTTTGCTAATTTCTCCTAGTGAAACCAAATCCTCTTCTTTTAAATCATCAGATTTTTTATCTTCCTCTTCTTCTTCTTCTTCTTCTTCCTTTTCTTCGTCTCCACTTTCCGTTGTGCCATTATTAGCGGATTTAATGGGTTTAGTGTCAGTCTTCTTTTTGCTACCGTTCTCTTCATTTTTCTTCTTAGGTTTATTCTTTTCATCATCTTTTTCATCATGATCCTCTTCTTCTTCGCCTTCTTCGCCATCTTCGTCAGCTAGCTCATTTTCACTTTCTTCTAATTTTGAGTTTTTCTTTTTAGAGTTTTCATCTTTTGATGTTTTCTTTGATTTTGTATCTAAAAAATTTTAAATAATAGGTACTTTTAGTAAATTTTCACAAAAATTTTATTTTGTATTATATTTTGTTTTTCAGTTTGGAATATCTCATATATCTAATTAGAAGATAGAGAGATAATGGATAACTGAGAATTTTATTATACCTTGGCCATTACTAAATAAAACCTAATGTTAACTGGTTTAATATGAACAAACCAAGGATATAAAATTAAACCTAATATTTAAATTAAACGTATCCTTTGTTTATATACTGAATTTCACATAATTTTTTTCGAATTTGTCGAAGGGTGGTTTCGAACTCAAACTGTTTACATTCAACAATATTTTGTATAGGCATTTGCATTATACACTACACTAATAAACTGTCTTTTGAAAGCATGTTTAAATTTCAATAAATCTTACCTCCGTCCCCTTCAACAGAATTTTTATCCTTTGAAACGTCATTTTTGAGTTTCTCTTCGGATTCTTCTTTTTCGTCTTTTACCTTAAATATTTAAAAAAATATATTTTTTAAACTTTTCATTTCTAATCGATTCATAACAAAATAAAATTTAACAAGGTTTTTGGGATACTATTATTTCATCCTTAAAATTTTGAATACACTAACAAACCGACGCCATATTTTATGTGACGCGCACAAATTTTAGCGGAAATTTAATCATGTTTTTTCGAATAATTTATATTTTTAATCGAATTATATTTTAATTTTATTTGTAGTACCACTTTAGTTTTTAATGTTTCAACTGTTTTTTACGAATTTCTTACCATATCTTCAGTAGATTTCTCCTTTTCTTCTCCCGACATTATTTTTCTGTTCTTTACTAATAAGTGTTGCCTCTAAATTTAGCATTTGAAGTTTTTGAAATGTCTTTCGTTTTTTGAGAAAAAAAATGCTGCCAGTGCGTTGCAATTTGTCAACTTACAAGTTACATTAATTTATTTACCCAACAAACATATGTTTTTTTATTTTATGAGTACAAACTGGAAAAATTCCGGAGATTTATTTGTAGCGTTTAATTACGAAACGGAACGTTAAGTTCATTTTCAGGAAGTTTCAAACTAATATCAATTCAAATCTATGTACTTAATAATACTAACTGAAACATATTAGTTGAAGAAATATCTAAGTATTGGAAAAAATATTGAATAAACTTCAAAGGTAGGTTTTCTGAATTCTCAAGTTTCCAAATTTTACATTTTTCAAATTTTCCAAATTTTACATTTTTCTTCCAAATCATGAAATATGACAGATAGTAATAAACTTGGTTAATTTATTTCATTAGATCATCATGCATGCTTCAATAGGGAGACGAATTTAAGACAACCATCTTAATACTTCTTAATACTTAATAGTATTTTTCTGTCATTAATGTTTAATCCAAATAGAATTAAAACCTAATTATATAAAGTGAAATAAGATAATCACATCGTTATTTTGATGTCAAATATTTGATTAAAATTTTAAGAGCATAATACGTTTGTTCAAATCTCAATTTCATAAAAAAGGATATTTCAAGTATTACAATTAAATCAAAACCCAAAATAACATCAAAAGCACAAGATCCATATGTTGCGAAACAGAAATACTATTTCTACGCTACGCATTTGTTTGAGATTAGTAGTTGTTCTTAATGTAGGCTATCATGAGTAGTATGAGCAAGTAAATGAAACGCAAATATTGTCATTTGCAAGTTTTTGAAGCAAAAATTTAAGTTAATTCAATATAATATGTTGAACTAAATCAACCTTTTTATTTTAATTATAGCAAAACAAAATTACTTTTAATTTGTGAGGCACAAATCGAACACTACTTGTGACTTTTAAAAACGCTTACTTGACGTTGACATAATGTTTACTATTTTACTATGATCAATTCTACTAATTTAAATTAATTTCTGCATAAGTCGAAGAAGGCTTGTAAAAACCTAATTTTCGTTAAATACAAAAGGAAAAATATTTTAATTTAAATTTTTAGAAGTCTTGCTGCCTACATACTTTATTTTTATTCTGTACGATTACTTTTATATGGATATGGATGATAATTTGTCAATTCTGTTGTATGTTGCCGAAGGTAAACAAAATAAATTTATACTAGTTTTTATTTAATCTTAAAACTATTTTTTTAGGAACGGGATTCGATTTGAAGATAGGAAATATCGTAATAGTAGCTACCTTAGGAGGAAAATCTCTTGAAACAAAACCAGTTCAGTCATCTTCAAAAATTGAATTTGATAATAATTTAATATGGGAAACAAATAAAAAGTCTGTGAAAAGGTATTGCAACTTATTTTGTGCATAACACAAAGCATTTTATAATTTTAAATTTTTTTTTTTAGAATGAAAACAGAAAATTTACCAATTAAGATAGAATGTTTCCTATCAAGTTTTGCTAATGGACAAGAAACTTTCAGTTTAATTGGATATGTGTTAATACCACTTAAAAGTATTCCTGTAACATTGTCTAAAAACAGAACGATGGTAAGATTAGATATAATTAATTTAAATTATTTGGTAAACACTTTAAAATACTACCACTACACATTTTTAAGAGTAAACCACACTGGCACAAATTATTTGGACTAAATTCAGAATGGAAAATTAAGAAACCTGAGGTGTGCTTACAAGTTTTAATCAGCGATGACGTTCCTCAGCGTTCTCTCGGCTTATATGGACAGGTGAAATAAAGCATTAATTTTGCTTCTATATCAATCTGAGTTTTTTATGTAGAAAAATCAAACCAGCAACAACAATTTTGCATTAGATTCTATTGAAACGAGTGCAATGCTCTGTAGTCAAAAAGGATTATATATAGAATTACTAAACGAAGAGGAACTTTTGCAAGTGGGTGATAAGAAAACAAACTGTGATATATTTACTCTTAATTTGAAGTTTTTAAATGCCAATAATTTAGATTACGTGAGTACATCAAATATTTTATTTAAATCTTACTGAAATTTCATAAATTTTGTTTTTTTTTTGATAAGGCAATGAACCTTGGAGAAAATAAGAATCAACATTTTAAACTTAAATATAATTTACTTGGAACTTCAGCATATTGCTCTTTAGTATCAACTGAAAAAAATATTTTAAGTATACAGGAGGAAATCGGTATTAACTTTAGAACATCTTTACAAAGTTTACAAGAATACCTTTCCAAGGTATTTTATATTCCAGTAGAGTTCTTTTATGGCGATTCTCTAGTTGGTAATTATTTTTTAACAATCTTAAAGAATCACCTAAATAATAATATCACACTATTTCTGTTTCTTGTAGGAACTGCACTTTTTAATTTGAAAAATATTTTGCAAGTCGATAGTTTAAATGAATTTTTAGCTAAATATGGTTTTACTGACAGAACATTCAGCTTTAAGGGGACATTCCCCATCCAAACTGTATCAAATACACCCAAGTCGGCGTTAGTACCGTATATGGAATTTATTTTTAATTTGAAACTTTTATCCACAAATGAAGTAAGCGACCGTGAAATTGAAATACATAATATGCAAAAAAGCGAATTTGTAGATAATGTTTTCGATGATAAAAAAGTGTCTGAAGAAAACACAAATGAAGAAGCGACAAATAATGTTGTTGAAGTTATTTCAAAAAGTCTTTTGAACGACCAAGACAACTTTTATGACGCGAACAATAACTCTCAAGTAGTAAATGATGAAAAAATAACAGAGACAAAATCAGAGATCGCTTTACTAGAAAATCTTTCTCTTAATAAGGAGAGCATTTTATTTGGTACTTCAAAAAGCTTTTTAGATGTGCAAGAAAATTTTAATGACACCAATAATAATTCACATGTTGTTGTTGATAGTAAAACAATAGACACGAGATTAGAAACCACTATTCAAGAAAATTCTCCTCTTAATAAGAATACTTTATTTGGTAAAAATGAAATCTTAATAAAAGAAAAACTCAAGAAAGAAAGTCCGAAAAATATTCCAAGGACTTTTAGTTTTAATTTGATTTTACAAACAGTTAAATTTAATCGATTTGTTGATACTGGAATTTGGCAGATTAGTTTGCAACATCAAAATGCCGATACTACATATACCGTAGCAAATATAGAATTAACAGAAATATCTTCAAATTTGATAGAATTTAAAAATTTCATGTTGCAATTATTTTTTTCTTCACGTGCGGATACCGTTTTGGAAGTTGTTTCATCTGAATCCTGTGTTTTAAAAATTTGTGGGCCTAGAGGAATTTTTGCTGTTGCAGAATTAAACAATGAAATATTGCTTACCAGTAACAAAGAAAAACATTCAGGTAAATTCTTACTATAAATTTTTTTTTGCTTAAATAAAAATTAAATTAATCAAAACTTAAGCATGAGAAAAAGAATATTTTATTCATTTAATTTTTTAAGTAATGCATAATTTCATTTCCAAAAATATACTTTAAATAATTGAATTTAATTTTTGTATAGAATTGCTTAAAATTTGTCAAAAAAAAAACGTTTTCTAGTTTTCTACAGAAATACCACTGCATAGGCAAAAGCATTTGAATTTTCTATTATTACGTACTCTTAATTCTAACCACCTTTTTTGATTTGGTACAAACATTTCGGGAGGTAATTGCGTATTTTCATCTGCATTATCATCATCTTGTTTTCTAAATTTAGGTGAAGGCAAGATTGACATTATTTCTTCTGGTTTTCTCAATAATATTTTACCAACACCTTCACACATTTTGAGCACTTCATGTCGGCTTAATCGGTCAACATGTTCATTTAAAATAGATGGACATGTTATAATCCATTCGGATACACCATCAAAATCCTTTAGTAAATTTACAGCGCCACACGTAGAAAAGCGTATTCTTTTCCTATAAATATGGTCTAGCCAGGCTTCGCATATTAATTTTAAAGTTAACTGGAGTATTTCAAGATCCTTACAAGCTTTGCAAATGGGTAAAAAAACTTTATTTAAAAAATAAGTAACATATTCATCGCATTCGCTTTGTAATACTTCAGTTTGCCAATGACGTGTTGATGGGAAACATAATGTTAGTGTAGCTAAAGAATATGTCTTGCATACATGAGATAATATTTCAACACATGCACCTGCTGCTTCTTTTAATTTTTGTATATTTACTTTTATTTCAGATACTAATTTCCATCTTAATGCTACACAAACTTGTATCAAAACTTCTAGTAAATCAGCGGCAGCTAATTGTGGTACTCGAAGTTCTTGCAAATTATCTAAGCAATTTTTTACATCACCATGTAAAAGAAAAAACATTGTCATATTCCATTCAGAACATAAAAATTTCGCTCTGCCCAACACCCATATCCTAACACTGTGAACGGTATGATCCAATCTATGTAAAATTGGTATTTGTTCAACGATTGGAAGTTGATTTGGGATTGTACCGTTACTATCACAACTATTACATAAAGATGTTAATGAATTTAATACTTCACACCATAAGTTTCCTGAAATTGTTCCAGGTGTGTACACTTTGAAATTAGCAAATTTCTCAAATTCCACGTCGTTTGTTAGTGACGATGCTACCAATGCTAGTCGAAACTGTTGGTCCCATATGGTATTTGTAACATGTGTTGTTAAAGTTTCTCCAAGACCCTTTAGAGTAGAAAGCACGGGCTCAGGTGCATCTTGTGGTTGTAACAGTAAAAGCCAGTCACGAAGTTGTTTTGTACATTCTGCTGGTCTGCAGGCTAACGCTGCATTGCTCCACCATAATACAATATGGTCTAAAGTTGAACCAATTTGAGTCCAGAGACTTCTGACTCCGCGACTTATCCATTTCCGGTAGTCAAGATTAGTTCTAGATAACTCATCAATAGCTAACGGGCATGTTTTACAACATTTTGATATAACATAAGCAATGAAAGCCTCTTCATCTGTAATTAAATGTTGTAGTATATCACATTTAATAACACATCGTTCTTCGTCTGTTCCACGTTTAGTTTTTTCAAGAAGTTCTTTTGCCATTTCATCAAAGAATTTAATGGCTGGATCATTCTCAATGGCAGTTTGTTCACACTTATTCGAATCATTACTTTCATTCTGTTTCTCAGTATAGTTTTCAGAGGTAGTTGCTTCCTGGTTTTGATCTATCTCATTCGAAACTGCATTTGTGAAATTTTCTTGTTTATCGTTCTTTGTATTATTTGTAGTGTTATTTTCTACATCTTTACTTTGATTCGGCGATAAGTGATAATGAAATGGATCCTTATATTTTTCAACAGCAATACTTAAATGTGATGTTAAAGTTTTTAAAACTTCAACACTTGAATTGCAAGATTCAGTATCTTCTGTTGTCATAAATAATTCAATTTTTGAAGTTTCTAACAAACAGGATATCAAAGCCATACTACAGTGTTCAGCTCGACTTTTACATAAAATTTGTAATATCAAACCAATTTCAATTTTTTTCGGCAAGAGTAATAAAACTGGGAACGTATTACTGCATATTTTCGAACCAGAGGAACTTGTTCCATTAGATGTTTGAAGACACGTTTCAATTGTTTCATTAAGTAAGGTACTTAAATTTAAGGCAGCTTCCATTGTAATATCAGACTGTGTTGATATATCGAGTAAATATTTAATAGTTTTATTTATAACAAACATTAATTGATAGTGTCTTCTTTGTAAACCTTCTACCATTAAAATTGCTTTTTTTTGTAATAAACTTTTATAAGCACTTCGTTGCAGTTTTTTACTCGTAGCTGGTACTATTTGATTTCTTAAACTTTCCTGTATTGTTTCACTAAGTATTAAAGCTCTACGGCATTCTTCAATTATTTGAGAAAATTCATAGAAGTCCAGAAGATCTAAATTTATATCTGTGGAAAACTTTTTAGCTAAAAATTTCAATTCAAATTCAATTTCCTTTGTTTTTCCAAATAATTTGATTATGTCATTGCTATGTTTTGGTGCCCATTTTGGTGTTGTGTTATTCATATTGATGAAATAAAAAAAATCAATATGAATCCTTCGAAAATTAAGTAAAAAAATGAATTTTCCCACTATTGATTTTCGTTTTAATTTCTTTTTTTAAAATTCATAATTTTTTTTATTTAGAACTTTAATTAAATCTTATTAATTTAAAGGATCGCAGAACAAAAAAGAAACTCCTTCCTTTGGTGGTTTTTTTAACTGAAACTTTTTATTGAAAATCGAATAGAATTATTTACAATGTCAGTAAATAACTTCCGTATCGTAATCATGGTTACAAAACCCCTTTCAACCTTGGTCTAGTTTGTTTATTTCTTGATAAAAGGAAAAGTATGTATATTTTATTAAATGTTAAATATCAACAACCTTGAAAAATATCTGCCTGTTTTATTGACCTTAACAATTTTTCTTTCCACTTCTTAGTCTCATAATCGCTTGATTCCTTTTAAAGAATTATTAAAAGCATACCTTAAGAGATATTGAATTATGATGTACAATCAAGTTAATAGATCGAATCACAGTGTTGTGATTCTAGTTTTTGTGAGTAAAACACCAAAACTATTTAAGCATGTATAAACGTTTCATCTTTGTATGAATCAAGCATATAGCATGTCAAGATAAAGTTATGTTATACTGAAGCACTTGGGCAATAAAATATAGTTATAAAATATTTATTGACTATTAGATATAGAAATGTGCAAAGATATTATGAGTTTTCTATATTTAATTTTAAAAATTCGGAATGTATGAATGTGGGGAAAATAAGTGCATATAAAACATGAACATACTTATAAATCAATATAAATAAATTTACGTTATTAGTTTTACTTAATTTTTTTTATTTTTCAGGAGTTGTTCTTATGGAAAATCAAAATGGTGAAAAGTGTGCACTTGCTTATATTTCTGTTTATATGGAAGATTTAGGAATATCATTCAACAGTCAAATAAAAAAACATGTAAATAATGACAATAATCCACCAACAATAGCTGCCTATTTTGATGAAAACTTGGCGTACAAAGTAGTTGAAGAATTAGAAGATTGGAAAAAAAAGCAATTAGAAAATTTTCTTGTTGAATTAAAACGTAAAGAAGTTAATCATTTAGCAATGCTTTCATTAGAATGGCAAAAGCGTAAAAGTGAATTAGAAAATTCATTGAGTAAAAAATTGGAAGAATGTTCCCAGTTATATGATACTTTAGAGAAAGCGCATTTGACTTTAAAAGAAAAAGGATTAAGTTATTCTGAGCATGAAAAATTAGTTGAAAAGATCCGGAAAGATACTGAAGAAAAATTTTCTAAAATAATTACCGGACTGAATGAAAAAATTAAAAGAATTGAATACGATATGGAACATAAAATTAAATTAGAGCAATTGAAATATAAGGAACTAGAATTAGAAAATATAAATATGGAAAAAGAAAAATTTTCTTTGAAAAAAGATTTGGATGAATTACACAAAATTTGCAATGAAATGAAGGAAAATTATGTGCCCAAAGAGCAATTAATTGCATTATTACAAGATATGGTATAAAAAATATCACCAATACTAACAAAATATAAATATAAAAATTTTTTTTTAGAGTGTACTTCATGAACGCTTAGAGGAAGTCCAAAAATCACAACAATTTTATAAATGTCAATGGGCTAAGCTTATCAGAGAGCTTCATAAAATGAAAATTGAAAATTTGCAAACTATTGAAGAACAAACAACTTTCTGCGGAGCCGTTCAGTAAGTATAACACATTTCTAAGTGGAACACGTAATAAAATTTTAATTGCTTTATGTAAAATAGATTACATAATTTGCTTCAAAATGAGAAGAATGAGTTTTACAATGAAAGAGACCAATTAAATGAAATTAAAGCAGCTTTAGAAAATTCATCTGACGATGATTGTGAATCATGTTACGAATCTGACCGGTAAATAAGCTGATAAATCAAACAAAAATTTTTTAGTTGTAATAAAAAAAATATGTATATGAAATCTTTTCACTGCCTTGCAAAATATTATCTATAGCTTGTATTTTGAATTATAATTTTATCAAAAATTAAACGATCATATCCTAAATTTCGTGATTTTAAGAAAAATATATATATATTTTATTATTTTGCATTCATTTAAGTGCTTATATACAATATCCTAAATTTTGTTTCGTAGTATAAAAATAAAAAATGTTTAGATAATTAATTTTAGATCTCATTAATATTTTTTGTTATGAAGTTTCTTTACGGACTAAATTATTAAATCAATTTTTTCTTAAAAAAAAAAAAACAATTTTTTATTAAAATTTTATGAAATTTATAATACGTAGTAATATTTATTATACAATCTAAAATAATCTTCTTGGAAAATGAAGTTGCTGTTGTTGTAGTTGTGCTTGGTTGTTTGGTGGACGACTCGTTTGAAAAACTCCAGGTTTTGCAGTCTAAAAGTGAATACAGGAATATTTTTAATTTCATATAATATTAGAAAACATTACGTCTAATTTTTAAGAAATTGTAACGACAATGTCTTAAAAAGTCACATTAAATAAACTCTATAAATAGAACAAAAATTTCTACGCATAATAATAAATTACTTGTTGCATCATATTTTGATGGAGCAGTGGAGCATATACAACACTTTCAGTTGGCTGAGAAGGAGGCCGCTCAATTTTAACTTCGACGTGGTAGCGATCTGGAATCTTTTCCATAGTTATTATCGGTGGCTTATGTTGTTGAGGTTGCGGTACATGTCCCATTTGATTAACGTCAGCTTTTTGTTGTGCATGTTGTTGGAGTGCTTGTGCTGGAATATCTAAATAAGTTTGACGTAAAGGTATTGGTGTGTATGCAGGATATATAATTTGTTGTGTTCTTCCATCATTTGGTGGTGGATTTGCTGTTGTTTGATAAAACAATGTTCCAGGAGGGTTTTGATACTGTCCGGGAGGTTCTGCCAATAGCAAAAATTTTTGGTCAACATTAATGCAAAGCTAAAAAAATATAAAAAAAATTCTTTACGTTTCCATAGCACCCTAGATACATCAGGAGCCCTACGGCCATCATCAATTTCTGTAAAATTAAAACATATATCAAAACTTATCAATAGATAGAAGAAAAAAAAAATTTTGCATTACTTGGCGAATATTGTGTTCCCTTATAGTATGCATTTTGTGGTCCTTGTGGCGGTGAAGGACTTCTAGCACGTTTTATACCAGTTTTCACAATATTTTGTTGTCTTGGAGGCAAGAATACCTGAGCATGCGGTGCGTTATGCATTTGCGCAAACATTTCACTACAAAATTCAATTTGAAGAATCATTAATGAAATGATCATATATCTACAAGTTTGTGCTTTTACCTATCTTTTTGTTGTTGTTGTTTTTTGCGATTTTCATCCTCATTAAGTACTTTTTTCAATTGCAAAAATAACGACTGCTTTTCATTTTTGAGATCATTCAATTTAATTTCTAATTTGCTAATTTGTTCTCTTGTTTCACCCAGAGTCATAACATCCTAAAAAAAGGTTAAGAAATGAATTCGAAATTGGAATTTTTAAAAAAATGCAATATTCGTTTTGTGCAAAGTTTAAGGATTATTACTTGTCTTTCACGAGCTTCACGTTCTTTTCTCAATCGCTCTTCTTCTATTTCTGCCTCATGTTCTACGGTTATTCATTTGGTTTTATTTAAAAAAAGTAAATTAGAAAATAAAATCAATTACCTTCCTTTTTACGCTGTCTTTCTTTTAATACATGAGCTTTAAGAGCTGCATTTAAATTGAGCTAAAATTTATTCAAAAAATAATTAAATTGACTGGAGATGAAAATAAGACCTTATATTACTTTGGCTCTCGCCTCACGTTCTAGCTTTTCTGCCTGCGTTGTTGCTGCAGGCATTTTACTAGATTTATTTTTTTCACCAATTTTCAATATTTATATTAAATCTTTTATAAAAACTTCGTTTATGCAACGTTTCTGAGTCTACTCAAGTTTTGTAGTTTTATAAAAACAAATTGAAAAGTCTTTTAAATTAGCAAAAATTTATTTTATTTTCATTAAAGTTCTTAATTTAATATTATTCTTTTCACATTATAAAAATCACAATAAACAAATAAAGTCTTCTAAACTGTCTCTTTTATGAAATGTCAAAAACGTTTCAGGGTCTTGTAAAATTTTATTTGACATTAATGAAATAGATATGATGTAGGAACTTGCTATTAAGATTATGGGGATAGTTAAACTCAAAATTCTTTTCATATTTTTGTAGAGATTACGGCAGTGGTATTATTATAAGTTTTTAAGTATTTTTTAATTTGAAAACCGAACAAAAAGAATTTTCCGTGGCGAAATGTCAAAATTCACATAGAATATAAATTTTTAAATGGGACTGATCAGCATAAATTGAAATAACCGCACGAATTTAACGGCGGTAAAGTATACCAAAATTCTATTTCACCGCTAGCGGTTTTTGACATTATCCGTTTCCAGTAGATTTTGTCGTTTCGTTGTTTCTGGGTTCATAACGGAAATCGCACGCCATTTCCGTTCACCGTTTTAGTTTCGTTTTTCCTAATTAACTGATTTATGTCAGTTCTTTATTTCCGTTTATTATTTCTTACCAATTCCTCATGGTTGTTATTTAAGATAAGAATATTTTTATATGATAGGTGTTTGTTAAAAGAAATCTTATTTAATATTTTTTTTAATAGCCAAGTTTTTTCGGTAATCTATTGAAAGGGTGAAAGAATCATAAATGCATGATATTGTTCCGATAGCTCATATTATATTAGTTGCAAAAATGTTTTTAATTTAAAAAGAATAAAATAAAAGTTATTAACCATAATAAAATCAAAAAGTACAAAAAAAAGAAAAGGATTATTTACGAGTTTTTTTTATAAAAATGTCAAATTGAATAATTAATATGATGTTTTGTATATTTACGTATATATAATGCAAGTAAATAGTCTGATTAAAATCCATGAAAACATTTTAGAGAAGTACACCAACTTTTTTTTTATCCAAATCACGATTATAAAAGCTTCTTCAGAGTTTTAATTCCAATTCTTGTAAAATCAAAATATCAATTTTAATAATACTTTTTTAAAATTGTAAAATTTTCCTAAAGTAGATGAAATCTGCAATGCATTTAATCAGCAATTAAAATTGCATTGCTGAAAAAGCCAAGTTTGGCAGTAGATTAGTATTATACAATTTATTCGCATTAGAATATCGTGCCACATGCGATTTCAAAATTATCTTATTTTTAAAATAAAGTAAAATAATTGGAATTGGAGCTATAATGTTACCGGTTAGGAAAACAAATATCACTTAACCGAATCAATATCACTTAACTGAATTTTTGGCTACTTTAAATCCAAGCTGAGCAATATTTTATTTTTAATTGAAATGGACTTAGGTCACTTTGAAAATAAACGATCCATTTAAAATTTATTCATAAAAGAGAATTGTTTTTTTTTTCAAAATTTATTGTGTTATTAAAATGTCATCGTTCTGGTTGTTTTCATTATTAAAATAATTTTTTAATTTAATTATAATTAAAATATAGCTAATGCGTTTCAGCTTGCCTTTTATTAATTTATCACTGTTTTTTTATTTTATTAAAATCAATAATAATTTAAAAATATATGTAAATGAAGAAAAAATTCTAAAAAAAAGCAATTTTCAACTTTCTGGGTTTCTTCCAAAATTTCAGATTATTTTGAAGTTACAATTTCATTTTATAATATCATAATTATGTATGTATGCATGTATATCGCAAGAATTATTAATAAATATGAATTTTGAGGTGTTGATTTAAACTACAATTTATTCTTTGTTGCAATTTTATAGCAATTAATTAAGTTTTATTGCAAAATTTCAATGGAAATGTAAAATTGAATTTATTACAATAAATTTTTTAAATAACATTTACAATAAAACATATTTGTATAATATTCATATCAATTGGGTTTCCGAAAATTTCATTTATTAATTAGAAATAATTTTTTCAATTCGTTTTATGAAGTTCAAACATGGTTGATGTTGCTACTATCAATTTTATTTTATTATAAAAAGAAAAATAAGGCTTTGTTTACATCTACATATGAGTAAATTTTTTATTTTAATTCATTTTTTTAATATTAAATGTTTAAAAAATTTAAATGTATTTTTTCATGTTAAATGACAAAATGTAACAAAATCTCCACCCATTTTTAATATTCATGCGATTTAGAATAAGTAATTAAATTATTTATTCTATAAACTAACAAAATAAAAAAAAAAATAATAAAAATTTAATAAAATTTTGTTAAAAAATTATTGAAAAAAAAAAATATTTCATTTTTATTTAATAATAATTATTTATGACTAGAAACATTATTTCATAGTGTCAATTTTTATGTTGTAAAAATTTAATGTTCAATTCCATACTCGTGTAAATATGTACACGTAGTTAATTTCGTATACAATTGAAGGTTTTTAATTACAATTTCGGTTAATTATATAGGTATACGTATGTATAACAAAATTAATGTACAATACACCCCTGCGACAAAAGTGAATTATCTAAAAAAAAATATAAATTTTCAGATTCCAACACAATTTGCTTTTATAATTTATATCTATGTATAATTTGTTCAAATTTGTTTAAAAGTTTTAACATCGTGCTTGATTTGTATTTGAATTGCCATTATATAGCTCAGTTATATTTTACCCTTTTTGTTTGTTTTAATTCTTTATCTAGCAAATTAAGATTGTTTTCTATTTTTAACTCTAAAGGTATAGATTATTGTACATATTTAAGCCTCCATCCTTGGTTTTTTATTTCCTAAAATATTTTAAACGAAAATTAAATATATTTCTTAAATTTTAGTTATGTATATCACCAGCATAACCTTATCTACTGGATAGGTACTCTGGACACATGTCATTTTAAATACTATATAATGAGCCCAATCATAACAATTTTTCTCTGATCAGATAACCAGATCAGAGTTTCGATTATGATGTTGATAGGACTGAGTCGAGGCAGCTTCAATATTATTCTCATTGCACGGCTTTGGATTATCTGCAAACTATTAAGATCTTCTTGACATCTCGAAGTCAATTATATGATGGACCTATATAATATCTAAAAATACAGCATATTAAATTTAATTTACTATATTAAAATTATTGTGGAATGAAATGTGCTCCAATTGAAGTGATGTCATATAATATAATACGTATAAGACATTATTTTATATAAGTATATGATTGAGTTTTCTATTTGATAAAATATTATTAAATTAAAAAACTAGAATAAACTTAAAATCAACCTAAATTTATTATTGCTATTTTGTTCTTATTAAAATTACTTTAATAACAATAAATTCAAACAATTTAATTTTTATGTACGTACATATATATGTAAGTACATATTTGAATTGAATAATTTTAAATATTACATTAAGATTAAAATATGTTGTTATATTGTTATATAGAATATGTGTACATACACACACAAATATAATTATATAAACAAGTTCAAATTGCAAAAATTGAATCAAAGAATTTTTCAATAATCAATTATTATACCATTTGTGGGCAAAAAGAAAAAAAAATGTCAAAACAGATATAAAAATTAAATTTTAAGTTAAATTTTAAATAATATTATTGTGTATCTGCTTAATTATTATATAACGAGAGGTGTAGCGCTAAATGCAGAAGTAACTTACAATATAAATTGCTGAACAAGGCCGCTGGCTAAAGGCTAAGTTTAATATTTGAAAGCACAAGTTCTTAATATGTTTATTCACAAGAAAAATATATGTAGTGCAACGTTTTAACAAAAGAAGGAATAAGTATGGTATAGGTTGTTAGGTTCATCAAATGATGCTATGCATATCATGATGCATACATAATGAAATCCAGTATCATGCATCGGTTTCCTTTAAGTAAAACCATTTGAATAGAACTATATGTATGTATATAGAACATATTTTATAGTCGTCACTCGTCCTTATAATCAAAGTACAAGGTGTATTGTGTGGTAACTGTTTATTATACAGGACACCTTATATTTACATAAATATTATTATAAATTTTTACAGCTTCGAGTTTAAATCAAGGTTATCGCATTGAAATACATATTCCATTCTTGTTTTAACATTTAGTTTCTTTAACTTTTCTAGATTTCATTCACATTTTAGTTTTTCTTTTTTATAATTTTTATTTTTTGAATTCAATAATGCTGAATATACCAATAATATAAAGCTGAAGAGCTTTAATTTTTACATATTTTGAATTTTCAGTAGTAAATGAAAAAAACTTTAATAAATTTATTTTTTGTTTTTATGTTTTGTGGCGTCAATAGTTATAATTGTTACTTTGCAATTTTTTTTCAATTAATTTCACTTTTGGCAAATAAATCACGAAAAATAAATTATTTATTTAATTTTTTTTGTTTTCACCTTAACGAAATTAAGAGTACAAAAATAATTTAAAAATAAAATATCTTTTCAGTTTTTTTTTTACCAAATTTTTGTCTGTCTATATTGGCAAGAAGGCAGAGAATAAGTATAGAGAAAAGTGTTAATTCATGCATAACCAAAATCTTGGAAGTACTTCTTATTATCAGGACTATTTGCTAAAAATAAAGTTTTACATTATTTTTTTTTATCATTATAAATACTTAAATGTTTTTTCTTACCCTTGTTCAAATTTCTCTAAGCCAATATATAACATTCATACTTAATATGTATTGAAATATTTAGTGGACAAATGTCCCCATAGTACAAAACTACTCAGCCTAGAATGATTTCCATAAGTTTACACATTCAAACAAACAATTTCTTCTTTTTAAACTATTAAGAAGGTTTTAGATTAGCCAATTATAAAAAAAAAATGAAATAATTGAACAAACCTTTCAATAATCTGTTAATTCACAAATTTAAAGTTATAAATAGATTCCCGTTGAATCAACTCAAGCCGTAGTAATATTACTTTCCACTCATAATGGTTAATAGCCGTAGTAATATTACTTTCCGCTCTTTGGTTAATAATTTTAAATGAATTTAAAAAAACTCTTTCCGCTAAATAAAAATGATAAAGAAATATT